GGCCGTGCAGGAGCCCATTATCGGCTGCCTTCATTCACCGGATTCTGTCGGCCCCACCCTTGGAGGTCGGCGATACCGGAGCGCTCGGCGGGGTGGGTTGAAGCCCGTCTGTCATGTGGTCGCCGACTCGCGGTAGACCTTCGACGCCGGCGTATCCCTAGTCTTATCTTTTAAAGCATAAAACGAAACCGTCCCCCAAGAGTCCCATCGCTTCAGGTCCCGAATTCCTTACTATCTGCATCGCGTAGCTTCCAACATCAACACAAGCCAAACTTGCAAAAGCTGAAACCCCGCACACCGACTCCGCCCACAACCCTTCACACTCATTTTCGTCTTCATCATGTGTATGGGAGCCACTTGCGGGACTTGTTGTAAGTCTTCTATTCAGCCGTGTCACGCTTACAATGCTTACCCGCTGGTCGCACAGCGAAGCGGACATGGCGCGGATGCGGAAAACACATTCCCTCCGCTATGGATGGCATCTCCGAGGATGAGTGGTGCACCTGCACTCCGCGCGTCAAGGTCGGCGAAAAGGACTACCCGCCTGCTGCCTCCTTCCAGGTCCCGGGTCTGTCCTGGTTGACTGGTGGATCGAAGTAGGAGTTGCTATTGAAGCTAGATTCTGGGGCTTTTTTTAACCATACAAAGCTCAATCTAGTCCATCTGTGTTGTTTGAGTCTGACAGCCTTTTCGACACAACATTGTGGGGGAAAGAGGGAGTCAAATGATGTGCTAACCCGCTGCTCATCGTTGCAGGTAGTCCAGTTCAAAGGAGTGTCACTTCTCAGTAGTGGTCACTTGTCGGGCCTCTAGTCGAGCCTTCGAGGGTCACTATGTGCCATTCTATCACTGCAACGGAGTTCAAGGGCCACGGTTCACCACCCCAGACATTGTCTGCTTCAACATACCTCATGTCAGTTGAGCGATAAGCCAATTTCAAAACGCCTCGTTCTGGAGCATTCTGCAAATGAACAGTGTCACGCTATATTATGTGTTTCAACACGAGCTGGCAGCCTCGGATGTCCGATGATGCCACTGACGGTGGTGTGGTCAACATATTTCCTACGGTGTGAAAAGTCTACGGCCAAGTTTTTTGGCTATGGAAGAATGTCAGCTATGGGATGACCGTAGCAGACTCGTGCAGTGTGTCATGCTCAACTGTCAATACTGGAGCTTCAAGGATGAGGCTACAGGCATGGCGAGTGCAAGCGGCATGCTCGGTACAGGAGCTCGGATGGGATCGTCACAAATGGAAACCTGCTCGCACGATAAGCGGTTATCTATGGGACAGCCATTGCTGCCTTGACTCTACCGCAGTATTCGCTTTCGATACCAGATTCGTGAGCTGTCCTCCATATTTGTTCGTCTCACATCGGATTTCGTCGTCCCACGCGATGCCCATCTCGACGCAAACTTTAGTCTCCCTGTTCGTCAGATATCCGCCACCTTGTCAGGAAGAGCCAACATCCGAGTCCAAAGTCCCAGGTAGGGTTGAGTGTCACGCCGTGTGCTCTGACGTCTACTGTTTCCAATGAAGGGCCCACTGGGAATTGTAATCACAGCCACGAGTTCACTCATCCCCAGTCCACCGAGGCCAGTCAGCCTTGGCGCTCTGATACAGCGCAAACCAATGTCTGTGCGATTGTCGGCCAATCGGTCCACTGTCAGGCGCTCCCCCTTCTTTGCAGCTGAAGTGCCGAGTCGTCTTTGGCCATGTTTCCGTATCTCTCTCCGCCTTGCTCCATTGGGCAAATAAGTGTTTGGGATCTACGTACGGCCCGCACGCGCATCCTCCTTTACCGGGAATGGTTTGTCGCTCGTGGTCCGACTTAGCCTAGCAGACGCGACTAGAACCCTTTGGCGTTCTGAGACTAGAAGCCAAGAACGCCTGATCCGGATCAAATCAAGACTGCCAAGCCGTCTTTCGCATTCTTGCTTGACCATCCACTGTTATTCAGAGGATAACTACCAATCTCTCGTTGGAAACTTACCCGGCGCTGGACTACGGCAGTTGTTCTACGCAAAGCCTGGTTAATGTACCTGTACAGTTGGACAAGGCAGTCTAAGTTTTCTTCGTGGTGATGGAGAGTTTCCTGCCGCCCAAACCCCTTTCCGAGTCTCAGAGACACACTAGCCAGCGCAGCCACGATATCATGCTACCCACGGACATCGCTCCTCCTGTCAGTGCGGCGCGGCAACGTCTCGACGACACAGCACGAGATCGCAACGCACGACAACCATAGTCCCTGGTGCTGATCCCCCGCAAGCTAGTTCCTGTCTCATTGGCCCCCTTTGGTCTGAGCCCTCACTCGTGTCGCTCATTTTCTATTAAGTAGACCCGACTTGACATCGGGTGCCTGTCAATGCAGGTCGCTCTGGCCCCTGGACTCTCTCTCTTTCTGATCCTGCGTGCGGACACGGCCATCCTGTTCCCCTTTCCCTTGTAATATATTGCGTCGTCTCCTTCTCGTTCCCAGTCTGGTACTGGCAGTCCTTTTCTTTCGTCTTTGGACATATGGGGTTGGACGTCGACACAGAGTGCTTACTATGAACAGAGGATGAAGACCCCGCCGCTGGACATCATTGCGAGCTGGCCGGTCCCCAACTATGTCAATCCCGAGACCAGGGGACCTGCAGCTGCCATTGTCGCCATTACCTTGCTCATCGTCGTCACATTCCTCGTCGCCATCCGCGTCTACACTCGCAAGGTTATCACAAAGGGATTCGGCTGGGACGACATCCTGATTCTCTTTGCTTACGTCGCCACAGCAGCCTTTACCGCGATCGGCCTCGTCGCATCGGCACACTATGGCTGGGGTACCCATGTGTGGGATGTGCGGCCCAGGTTGTTCCCTGGGAGCTTGAAGCTCGCTCTATCCAGCTTTGTCATGTTCGACCTCGCCACGAGCTTCACCAAGTTGTCCATGCTGGCTCTGATCTATCGACTCGCCTGTCAAACGTCAAAGACAGTTCGCTTCATCGTCATTGTCTCAATGGTTCTCATCAGCGCCAGCGGTCTCTCTTTTCTCCTCGTAAGCCTCCTGCAATGTCGGTAAGTGAGGAGACGCCCCCCTGGACTCCCCTTGGCTCCGGTTGAAAGACGTGAAAAGCTGAAAAAACACTCTCAGGCCTCTGTATCATTACTGGAGATTGTCACTCGAACCCGTCAACTGCACCGTCGACGAGGCGACACACCTCCTTGCTGGCGGTATCATCAACACCTCGACCAACTTGCTAGTCGTCATCCTCCCTTTGGCCATAGTCCGCCGCCTCCGTCAAGAGGGCAAGCTCTGCCCTCGCCAGGTGACCATCGTCTCGATCCTGTTCGCCGCCGGGTTCGTGGCCTGCGCCGCTAGCGCCGCCCGCGTCTACTTCACCCACCTCATGACGAGCAGCCGCGACCGCGATCTCTCCTGGCACGCCTGGCTGACCTGGCTCATGTCGTCCATCGAGCTCTTAGTCGGCATAATGGCCGCCAGCGTGCCGGCCACCAAGCCCTTCTTCGCTCGCTACCTGCCTCAGCTCATCAGCACGGCCTCGGCGTCTCGCGCCCGCTCTGGCGGCAAGCCGTCCATCAAGTCGCACCGCGAGGAAAAAGACCGCCCCAAGCGCGACTCCCTCTCGACGATCCATGAGCTTGAAGAGGAAGTCGTCTTCAACCGGCCCGTCCGCACCCCCGACTTTTCCGAGCCCCAGCACCTCGCCTTCTACGATGTCAACAAGCCGCTGCCACATATTAAGGAGTCCGTCTACTCCATCCCCATCGACTTTGACTTTGAGAACACAGAAAGCACCCGGGCTCGGCCCTCGTACGAACGGACGAGCAGTCGGGGCAGCGACACCGCGACACGAAACCTGACCGAGGAGCGGTCCTTCGTGTAAGCCAGCAGGCTGTGTATTAGTGTATATCTCTAGAATCTCCCCCCCCCCCCACGTCTCGGTTCGCCGTAAGCCTCTTCGTTGATTTGTTCTTGTCCTTTGTGCATGGGAAATAACGTTTCGCAACTTGTTTGTCCCGGCCCCCTTTGTGTTGGCCGAGGCGATGGTTCCCCAGTCCTTACCTTTGAGTAAAGAATTGCTACCCCTATTTTAATCTTTGAGGATCGGCTTCGGAGTAGTGAGTGGATGACGCATGAATTGGATCGTGATCGCCGAAAAAAAAAAAACTTTAAGCTGCCACGGCTCCCCTGAAAGAAATCCTCGGTGACGCCGGGTCCATTTCGGAAAGACAGTCCATGCATCTCAAACTTCATCAGCATGGACAGTAGACAGTATCACGCTGTGATAGTAGGGGTGCATGCTTTCACTACAAGCTGTTTATTTGGTCCTTCTGTGGTGCCCTTGAGGCGATCTCATACTCTGGATACATCTAATTCTGTTCAACACAAATCTCCCTGGCTCGCAAATTTTGTCTTTGAGTCGTTCGCGGGAATCCTCACAACTCTCATCTACAGACACAACACCGGTCATCCTGAGCTCTTGGCTCTACATGATTCTCCACCACCCTCCTGGGCGTGGTTTGGGTATCTCATGACCTGAAGCATCGTCTCGGTTGCGGCGGTGCGGCTACCTAACCGGGAGCCGCACGATGCATGCATGCAAATCACTGGGGCATTTTTTCCCGATGACCTGGCTTTGCGTCCGGTCTGCAGCTTCCGACCTTGCAGCGTTTGCCACAACGCAGGTCGCCGCATCTTGTCGACGACGTGTAGGGCCGCGAGGTGCGTCGTCTACTCGTCGTCGACAGAGTTGGGCAAGGCGAGGTCCACGCACTTGCGTCGGGACTCCCCCCCCGGGTCCGGAATTTTCCTAAGTGCAAAAAAATGGCACATGTTCTGTAACGGCCAGAGATGTTAGACAACGGCTCATATCAACAATGCTGGCTTTGCTACGAACCTGGCAGCGTTCATCCGGTGTTGTTATAAGTCCTGCGGACAGTTTGCACAGTCTGTCCCTGGCTCATGGTAGAAGCCAGCTTTCCCATGGTGTTCAGATGACCCTGGGCATCCTTGATAAGGTGCGCAATGGCAACGTTGTCTGGCTGGGCAAGCCCCTGAACAATGCTTTCAAGGGCCTTTTGCTGGGCAATCCATTCCTCGATGAGCGGCCTAGGAGCTTCCTGTTCCTGGACAGCGGCGGCCACAACACTGGGCTTGGCGCTGTTCTTGCGGCTGACTGCCGGAATGACCTTGGGAGCGTCCTTTCGCTTGCGGCTCTTAGCAGCCTGCTGGGTGTGGCCAGTGGTCGAACTGGTGGGCGATCCCGGAATCCTGCTGTCATTATGTACACGGCGCATGTGATCCCGGAGGTTCCACTGACGGGGGAATCCGTTACCAGGAAGAGCACGATCGCATCCGTCGTACGAGCAAAGGAAGGGCTTGTCCCCGTGGCCGTGCATCGCGTGGGCCTCACGCTCGTGGCGAAGAAGACAGGCAGTCGACGAGAAACGGGCATTCTCGCAAGAGGTGTCCTTGCACCGGTAGGGCTTGAGATGAGAGTCCACAAACTTGCTGTTGGAAGAAAACGCATGATTAGCAAGCACTCGCGGGTGTTGTGTTGCTGATCCTCGGCGAACTTACTCGTAGTTGCACTTAAGTTTCTCGGCCTTGTGGTTGCAGCTCGCCTGTCCTTCCCAAGGGCAGTGGAAGAGGCCATCGGGACCGGGTGACGCATTCTTGTAGAGAGGGTGATCACGAGCAGATTCGCCCTCATTGACAGGCCGACGGGCAGTGTAAGAGGGGGGCAGAGCGAAGTCGTCACCCATAGGCATCACGGTAGCAGACATGTCGTCCGAAAGCATATCCTGACCATGGTACTGGCCGTCCAATCTACTCGATGTGGTTAGATAAATGAAGCTTCGTCCAAGGGGTTGAGGCACGACGCACCGGAGCTGTGCCTGGATTGCAGGGGATCCGTTCTCGCTGCGGGGAGGAGAAGCCAAGGGTTCGGGAAGTGCCCAGTGAGCGGGGCTACCTTCAGAGGATGGCCCGGACATGTGTGATTCCGAAGGGCTGAACGTGGCCCAGGAACCCGAGGGCGAGTGGCTGGTCAAGCTCGCATCGTGATCCAGCTGAATGTGGGTGGGAATAACGTGCTGCAGCGAAACTTCTGTTGGCGGAGAGGGCAATCCATCAGGACCCATACCAAGGTCCAGAGACATTCCGGATCCAGAGTACAGCATGTGGGACGAGACGCCGCTCGCATCAGAGTCCAGGAAAAGGCAGGAGGAGTTCACATCCATCAAGTGGGCGCCGGGTTGAGTTCCGGGGGTAAAGACAGAGCTGTTACCTGTGATGTCCATGTTGGACATGCGTGAAGACATTTGTGATGACGGAGCAGTCATCCTGGTCTTGGATGAGGGCTTGGTAATCCTGTGCTTGTGGCTTCCAGTGGATGTTCGCGAAAGTCCCCTCCTCATCGGCTCCCCGCCGATAGGAGCAGCCACGGCCTGTGGCGCCTGCACGCGAGGGGTGATGTGGCCATCAAGATGGAAGGAAAAAGTTTCAGCCTCGCCCTGGTGGGCAGATCCAGTATCAAGAAAATCTTGGAAGTTCTGTGAACCTTCTCCTGTCGTGTCCCACGACGAACCACTGATGTGATCCGAGGATGGTCCTGTTTGAGAAGAAAAGGAAAACATTCCTGTGGGTGCCATTGCGGCCTGGTAGAAACTGTAGTCACTGGGTGAAGGTTAGTGTGCTGTGTTTCCACTTAATTCAAAAATATCAAGACCATTGCAGACGACAAGGAAAAGGTCATCTCAATGTGGGACAGCTTTGTTCCTACAACGGGCTGCATGTTAGCTGTTGTTCCTACAGATATTGGATAGCGGTGTTTACAGACCAAGGTGAGAGTAGACCAGCAAGCAGCCTTCGCAACAAACATCCTTTCCGTCGCCGTGGGCCAGTGGGGAACACTCCAGGGTCAAGGTAGATCAAACACAGCAGTCAAATAGTCCGGGCGTCGGGTTCTGGGTGGTATTAGGTGTCGACGTCGTCCTTCAGGTCGCCTCAGGTTTGAGGGCAAGTCGATGAGAGCAACAAATCATCACAAGGTTCCGATTTGTATAGGTGTGTAACAGTCCGTGGCTGGATTCAAAGGATGTCCACCGGTTGGTCCGCTAGTCGTATTACCTGGGAGAGAGCCGTCGGTGCGTCGATGTACGTTCGTCGCCATTCCAAAGCCCAGCGTCGACATAGAGTTGTGCAGCGTGGTACAGATCAGGTAGAAATGCATTGTTTCAGTAAATATCACAGTCGTCCCAGTCGCTGTCCGGTGTGATTGGGATCGAGTAGCCCAGTGGTGCTTCCGAGGTCTTGGTGAACGTGTGTCGTCTCCATGTAAATGTTCAGTGTGGTCAAGCGTAACGATCAACAACGTCGATGTCCGCAAGTGGTCCACATGCCAGAATGCGATAAGTGCGAGCAAAAGAGAGTCCTGAATATCGTCCAGGGGGGCGCCTGGGTGAGCCAAAGTCTCAGGCGAGACAATCCTTAGTCCACGAGCGTGATTCCATGGGCATGCAATGAATACATATCCAGTCAAGTCCATATCATGGGCACTGTCAAGATCCGATATAGCAAAGTGTCGTTGGTTGCCGAGCGATACTTACTGATACAGCACGATCGATAGATCAGGTGTACGTGGAATAGAGTAATCTTTGATCCTGCGTCTGGAGCGACGTGTCTCGTGTGAGACGCCTCGTAAGAGGCGCTCGAGACTGCCCGCAAGGAGCAAGAAGTTTGGTTCAAGTTCTGTGATCCTTTGAGAGGTCCTGTGATCCTCGTCTCGAGTGGAAGTGTCCTGGATCCGGGAGTCCTGTCCATAAATCCTGGGTTGCATCCTGTGGTTGTCCTTGATCTGGTGATGGTCTGGCGACCGTGAAGACAAACGCTTGAACTTAGGAGAAACAAGACTTGCGCATACAGGATGTGTAAAAGCAAACAAGGCCGCCGTGGGACAGAAGAGTGAAAACAGTACCTAGAGGGCGTATGGACATCGTCCATGTCGAGAGATGTGTAGCCAGGCATATCCGGGCGTGAGACAACGACGGATGTCATTGAATCCTGGGCAGACTTGATTGAGTTCAGTCCTGGAGTGTGATGCAAGTCTCTCGGAACAAGAGATGTCGAGATAAAATGCGATCCTTGGTGGCAAAGGGGTCTGCTTTGAGAGCCTTGAGGTTGAGAAGTTGGGGAGGGGCTGGTAAGAGAGGGAGTAGTGGGCAATGCTTGGAAAAGGACGTGTAGAGAGGATGCTGGGATCCGAAACTGATCAGCAAGATGCAGGCAGTGGTTGGGCTGGAAGGTTGGAGGTTGGGCTGAAAAAAGAAGACGAAGAAACGGAGTTGGGCAGGATGAGGGGGCGACTGGGTTTTAATGGTCAAACCAGGCAGACCGCAGTGATCAACCATGAGGAACGGGGTTGGGAATGGCTTCTTGCGTGGCCCTTGCAACCCCTGTCAAGCATGATGCCCTTGCGCGTTGGCAATCTGGTTGAGCGCGCTGTTTGGTTGTGACGACCTTGAGGGCCATCACACAGGCCGCAGATGTGTGAGCTGGCTGTCGGGGACTGCGCTCGCGATAGGTTCGCTGTGTAAAGTTGGCGGTGACGGGATTACTTCCTTGATTTACAGGGGGATCCGCGGTGGGGATAGGAAGCGTGCCGGGCCTATCGTTGGAACGGATGAGGAGACGTCCGCGACAGCGGTAAGGGATCATGGCTGCAGCGACAGCACATCAGTGCAGTAGACCACCACGACCACGCGCCATCTAATCATGGGAGGGTGTTGTCCCCGTCTCCAAACCACTGGCAGCCCCTGTTTTCCCGACTCAAGACCTCATGTCACCGAGTCATTTAATGTCGCGTCTTCATTTCCACCACTCGACGGTCCTGTCGATCATGGACAATACGTTTGAAGTTTCTTCGCGGAAGGACGGAGTAAACCGAATCGACAATCGCTGCGTCGTAGCTCTGACAGGTTTTTGCTTCGACAGAGTTTCATGGTGCGGGAACGGCGGCAACGGGAGGGCGGGAAGAAGGGCGACGAGAAGACGGTTGGTGCGGGAGAAGCCAGCGGTGGGTATGGCTTACGAGCAAGCGTCAAGCCGGCGGGCGCCCTTGGCGTTAACGGGGTGGGTGATCGCATGGTTAGGGCGGACACTGTGACCTCTTGAGCGCTCGGCACATGTTCCTCCATCTGCCGTTGTGTCAGCGAGTCAAGCGTGTTCAACGTCGAGTGGTCGGCGACGATGCCAACGTGACTGGCACGCACACCGGCTCTGGCCCCGACATGCTCTCCTCACCAATTGCTTGCTTATCGCCTGGCCATTGCTGCAGATGCCGCATGAGGGCTCATGCAGGCTATGGCCACTTGTTCAGCGGGCTTGGCGTCGCAGGAGCCGGGCGTGGTGGCTTCTTGCCATGGGCGAGCAGAGTCCTACGCCCTACTCTGCAAGCACTTTAACAAATCGTTCCGGCTCCAGATGACATCGCCTATGCCTCCTTATTATTGATGATGTGTTTGACGCTGGGCCACCTGTCGTGCGGGCGGCCGAGGAGCAAAGAGGGGTAAGGAGTAAATAGGAACAGTGACTGGAGGAGGGGAGCTGTCGTGCGATGTACTGACAGCACACAGCCTGACAGGTGTGGTCGATTTGGACCTGCCCGCATGTGTGTGCTGGCTGTGCCGTGTCGTCTCACTCTCTGCATCCCAAGTGTCAAATGCAGGAAGGAGGAGGTCGTGTTCCATGGGTTCACCTTCCTCTGCTTTACTTCCTATACCTAAGGTACCTATGTACCTACCTACCTAGGTAGGTAAGGTAAGGTCAGGTAAGGGGGCTCGTGGTCCACACCCATGCACGTGGTCGTTGATTCAAGGTCATCGTGGAAATTGTTAGAGCGATTATCTAATCATATCTTTCAAATGCATCAACTCTTGACACACATGTCCTATTCTCGACCACATGTCACATCACGATCGTTAAAGGCTACTGAAGGGCAATTTTGTCATGGAGGATTGCCCCGTTACGATTCCCCAGGACGCCTGGCCAATCTCAAGTCCTCAAACCACACTCTGCTGCCCGGGGACTCAAGATGACGGCCCGCTTGCCACGGCGCTATTGAAATCCTCACGCCATTAAACCATGCTAAGTATCTGAAACAATTGGATGACCGCTTTTGCTTCAGCTGCAGATCTACAAGCTGGCTTTCATACCGTCATGCCTCGGCGCTTCCCAAGCTTGTGAGCTCAAGCAGCTTTTGCATCTCCAGCATCTCGGGCAGGTTCTCTCTGCCCACAGCGTCCTCCCAAATCTCCCTAAGCTTTCTCTCCGCCATGGTGCCTTCAGTCCAAGCGACTTCAGCGAGCGACTGCTTCGTGTCCTTCCAGTCTCGCAGGTTGAGCAGATGGCTGACTAGTTTAATCTTGCCAGCATATACTGCCCTCCACATATCGAGCTGTCGCTGGCCTTCGGATTCGGTCGCCAGCCCAGCCGAGGCCACGGCCGCCCCAAAAAGCACACTCCAAAGCCAGAGGTGTCGGCTGAAAGTACCAGCTAACATGTCCTCCTCTTTGAGACAAATGTCATCGATGAGTTGCTCCAAGAGCCAAACAGTCAGGACGCAGTCGACGCGGCTGTCGTTGACAGCCATGAGCACGTAAAAAAAGGTGGCTATGTAGCTCGCTCTGCTACTCTTCGGGTCGCTGTTCAGCATCATTGTGATGTTGTGCTGTGGGTCGAAGCCTCGTGAGAGCTCCCAGTTGAGATTCTTTGTGTATCCCTGCCAGAGTCTGTCACTCTTCGTCTCGCTGGCTTCCCACCAGCCGTATCGCGGCGCCTCCCTGGGTGGCAGGCTGCCTAAGTCCCATAATGAGGTGAACAAGAGAGCAATGACCGTTGGCTGGAAGTCCGCCCCGATGGCATCATGGAGTATTCCCACTTCACCCCTCCGCAGTCGGTCCCCTGCCCTATACACTCACCATTCAGCATCACGTGCCTCTAATGCAGCCCCCAGAAGCACTTACATCTCAAGCATTTGCTGTGCGGTATTGAGCTTGGCAAGGCTGTACCCGTTCTTTCTCAAGGTCAGTTCGTGCAAGCCTCGAAGGTGCTTCGAGGATGCATCCAAGTCACCGATGGCCCCCTGTTTCGAGTCGTGTTAGCTCCCACAACCGTCTAACTTTCACGTGTCCGAAGCATACCTCCGCCAATGCCAGCGTTGCAATGGCGAAAACGGTGGTTTCTGTAAAGGCTTGTTCTGGATCAAGGACTTGCTGCCGCGCAAACTCATACGCAGCTGCTTTGTGGTGAAGGAAAGGTACCATGACATGGTCAAGGGACCCGGTCACCCATGCCCATTGACATGCTGCGACGACGAGAGAACCATGCAACAGCCCTGGATGAAGGAACGTTCGTTGCACACTATACCGTTAGTCTGTAATCCAACGGCGACGGTGCAGGCGTCCCAAAGCACATACGTGGACACGTTTTGCCCTCGCTCGATGGGCGTTTGCCCTCGCACATAGAATGTTCTGACTGGCGAGTGGCGTCGTCGTTAGGGAATGCTCGCACATGGGCCGAACCCATGAACCAGCGTGATTCACGGATTCTGGGGTGTTGTTGCAAATAACCCACAGTGATGGAAGAGCCATTTTGACTTGTTAGACAGTTGATAGTCCTTGCCAAACCCAGCAAAGGCATGACTGGTCGACAGGAGAGACGTCGGACTGGGCGTAACTGTGGGCCGAACGAGGACAGCGTCCGGGGGCGTCGTTTTTCTCTTGGCCTCTGCAGTCGGAGGATAGCGGCATTGTGTGCCATTCTGCAGACAATTGGTGCTGTATTGACCTGAGCATCAGACTGATCCGTCGCTGTCTCCGCGGGCACGAGGACTCACCAGAGCGGCTGTCTTTCGTCGCATCGGACATGGCGCTCCTTGCAAACGATACACCCATTCTTACTACGGCGGTGAAACTTGCGAACTCGCGTCTTCGGGGGTGCCATCTCGCGGGCGTTTCCTTGTCAGCACAGCTGACATTGCACGTCGTGCTTCAACCGCCTTCACAGCTGCCTCGATTGCCTTGGCTTCGTGACGTCGTCACTTGTAGACTTGTTTGGAGGTCTTGAAGGTTATTGTCGTCGACAGAGACGCAGATAGTGCGATCTTGCGTCGTACCTTGTGGCAAACAGATGAGATAAAGCTAATGGATTATGTGCGAGATCTTACCATCATTTTCCATCATGGGAATGAGGTCACGGCTAGCCTCACGTCACATGAGGAACCCATCAGTCCTAAGGAACAGATCCAGCAGAAACGATGCAACAATTGGCTGCCCCCATTTGACGCTAGAGTGCTACACGAGAGGTGCATGAGCACGGTCCAATCGGAACTATCCATCACTGCCCGCAGCGGCCCCGCCATGATTAGTCAGTCTTCCCGCATACTCTCCCAGCTTCCCCTCGAGTCGACTGGAGATTTTCGTTCGAGGAGGAGGTTCCTCGCAGGGTCAAAAGCATGGAACGACAGCATGCGACGGAGCTTTTATACTACGCTACGTGACCAACCATGCTGATTAAAGGTCATTGTTCACTCGCTAATAGGGCTGGGACTATTGTCTCCCAAATTCCTTCCGGCCGGTGCACGCGATCCAAGGTCGAACCATGCTCCTCAAGCACCAGACGCCGAGGGGATCCGATCCAGTGGCATACCTGAAGCCTGGATTTGTCTCCCACCGACAATCTGTACAAACGGGTGATGGACCGGATGCATTTGTTGCGAGCTAAAATAGACGTGGATGTTAGAAGCTCGTATCGACAATAAATGCTGCGTACCAGCACAAGGTATCCCAAATTGTAACACCTTCAGATACCAGTGAGCTAGTTTTGGTTTCTGAAGAACAGCGCGATCAAGATTGTGGCTCTTGTTTACTGTTTCTCGGGATACCAAGGACGTCGTTTCCTGGCATGATATCCTCATACAGTGGCAAGGTCTCACGTGCCGGGAAGACGGCTAAATTTACGTATTCGAGTCCGAATATGCGTATTCATCGTCAAACACATTCGCCTTTGCCCACTTTCTCAGTCGATCAGTCATCGCTGTCAGGTATAACGGGAATTCCGTTTCATCCCGAGTTATTTAACCCGGAGCAGCATAGATTCTTAATGGGGGTCTGTGTTGTCGGTAGGGGTGGGTCGTGATGATACTTGGGGACTGTTTATAGACTACATGGCATCCACACTGTCGATTAGTTGATGTATGAGGCCCTCGTTTTCAAATGATGCGTTGTGTCCCCAAGCTCTCGGCGTTGACTGTCTACCGTTGAGACCAAATCTCAAGCTTCGCCAAACCTCGACCCGACGAAAGGCGGACGAACCTCTACCAACCGAGTGTATTGTTCTTCACGACATCTTCACACGCAGATCCCATCATGTCAGGTGTCAGCTACGACGCCGAGGGGCCCCCTTTTGGTCCCATCGTCAACGGCACGCAGATTGTCTTTTACCACTACCTTCCAAACCAAGCGGCAGGCTGGACTTTTGTTATCATATCGGATTGGCTACGATATTCATATATTCTGCTGTTAAAGTTACGCGCGTGGCACTTTCTGCCGCTCATCCTGGGTACATCGGTAGGAGCTATTGTTGCGGCCCTCGAACCCGGCCTTGCTAACTGTGCGTGCCAGGCGAGGCGTTCGGCTACTATGGACGAGTGATGGCCATCGCAGTCCGAATGTCGCTGGTCCCTTCATTATCCAGAACCTCCTGATACTGGGCATGGCGCCGCTCATCGCCGCCACCGTGTATATGAGCCTCGGTCGAGTGATCAAAGCGCTTGACCTCCGCGAGCACCTTCCGATCAGTCCAAGGCTCATGACGACGTTCTACATCATTGTGGACGTTGGGTGTTTTGTCACCCAGGTGTTCGGTTCAGTCATGCCGGCATCCGGTGACCCTGAGGGTATCGCGCTGGGCAGAAACCTCATCATCGGCGGGCTGATCGCGCAGCTCGTGGCACTGTCCCTCTTCACGTTTTCCAATTTCCACGCCCATCACCATGCTAGGAGACTGGCGATGGCAAAGGGCGGGGGGTCGATTCCGCTGGACGGCGCGCGATACTTCGGGGTCAGCTACGCCGCGACTCTAGCCATGTTGACTCGGGCGTTGGTCAGGGGTGTCGAGTACTTGCAGGGCGGCGATGGCTTCGTTATGAGACACGAAGTCTTCCTGTATCTGTTTGACGCCGTTCCCATCACCTTGATTCTGGCTCTTTACATATTCATACACCCAGGACGACTAGTAAGAGAGGCCGAAAAGAAGAATTGGGGCATGGAGTTGTTGGAGTCGAGGCGCTGATGCGTTGGCACCAACCTGTCTCGAGTTACATGTTGGAGGCACGAACGACGTCGGGTACGTGCAGACGTCGATTGATGACCGACCCCTGGACGGTGGCGTTTTCGTTTGCCAGGTTTTTATTGAGAGTGGCATTCGGCACATGAACCATCCGGTAGTCGTATTAGGATGACTAAGTCATGTCTTACTGCTTTTGTTCTTATCTGTTCATTTGGCTTTGCCCGTGCATGCATTCACATTGGTACCTCGGCAATGTAGCACCTAAAAGCAGGTAAGATAGGTGCCTAGGCACTTAGCAAGCTTAGGTGAGGTGAGGAGGCATCTCAGAGTGAGGGTCGACGCACCAACCCCATCAGGCTTCACGGCGCTACTATTTGCCGCTCTGGTGGTGCTGGTAGCACACCCAGACACCCTGTTACACACCTTGACGCGCACACACATGCACACATTCGCTCCGCCTCGCTCCGCCGACTCTGTCTGCTTTGCCATGTTCACCCACTTTTCTGCCTGGAGGGATATGTAGGTCGGTTTTCCAATACCGGTTCCCCCCCGCCACCAGAACAAGGACCCTGACTCCCCGAGATCTGTCAGATTTCCCTTCCGCTGATCGGCCGACTAGGTACCATGACAGACCTCGTACGCACATACAGTACACGATGAGATCCTTCTTGCAACCCTCGCCCCTCGCCCCTCGCCCCTGCCCTGGCGAGGCGGGCGGTGCCCGGTGCCCGATCTCTCGTCGCCATTTTCTTCTTCTCAGGTCGAGCAGACTGCTAGGGGGCGATCGGGCGACAGCATCGCCCAACGAAGTCCACGTGTGACCCACGATCCAGACCCTTCTCCAACGCGTTGGCTGCCGTCATCAGCCGACGTACGCACTTGTCTCCGGCCAAGCGGTCCCTTATCCCGTAGTCGGGGTCAGGAGACGACCCAGTCACGGCGCAGCTTGGCTCAGCTGAGCGGAAGCATAGTTCTCTGGCGATGCGAGACGTTCGACTTTTGTAGGACCGGGATCCAATGGAAGCGATGGAGAAGGGGTCCCTTTCAGCGGCCGCCTCACTCTCTGCGTGGGCCCCCCTCTGTGCTGCCATGTAAAACAGGGCCGCCAGAATTGCTTTGCCTCGCCTTCCCTTGCATCGCGCCGAGGCGCCCATTCAACAAACTCGCCTCACCACCTCAGTCAGCAGAGATGTGTTTCTTTTCCAGCCATTGGGGTCGATGCTTGCCCGAGTGGAGTGGGCATCAAGGCATGGCCACATGCAGAAGCAGGTTAGGTAGGCAATGTAGGGGAGGTAGTTGGGCATGTCCATCGTGTCGTAACACTTCATGCCTAACCCAGCTTCCTGTCACCGCTTTTCTCCCTGCCAGGTACTTCCCTGCCCCGAATCATCCCAGCCGCTACATCATGTCTACCCCCAAACCCCTCGGGCAACAACAACACCACCCTCTCCCCCAGCGTGCCGCCGGACCAGCCTCTGTCTGCGGTCGAGCGGTCATCGTCACGGCCCAACGGTGCCCTACCGCATGAGCATCCTCCGTCTTGCCTGTTGAGCCCTCCACCCAATCACGAATCCAACCCAATCCAGTCCACCCCCCCTTTAAGACCATATTGTCGTCTGGGGTACTCCCTGACGGAAGCACAGCTGTCGTTCAACCTGTCGTCACTTTTGCTTCATGGGTCAAGTTGCAACCTCACCACGGTAGACGCCGATCCTCCCTTGCCCACAACGTGCCTCACTCATACCACAACCCCCCTTCGAAAGTCACCAGCGCCAACCGAACCGAAAGGAGGAAACCCAGAGAAGCCGCAAGACCCAATCTTCCAGTGCTAGTCACCTCCCCCTGGCAGTCACGTATCTTCTGGACCATGCGGCAAGTCTACGCTTGAAACCACAGGCGTCCCGTCATGTTGGTGACTGGGCGATCGCGAATTCTGACCATCCT